CTGCTGAAGAGCAGGAGGAGGTTGGGAGATAACCCCGGTGAGGAAGAGACAGAATAAAGCTGCGCCTCCTCCGCACGATTCGGCTGAGTTAAACTCGGAGGTCAAGGCTTCAATGGAAGGCGACCCCATCCGAGCCCGCGCGCGCGGCGGTCCTCGCACTCACATGGCGGGCGGCGTCGCGGTCGGCTCCGCGCAGCAGCATCACGCGTACCACCTCGCTGTGGCCCATCTGCGACGCGATCCACAGCGGCGCCGTGCCGTCCTGCGGGGAGAGGACACAGCACCCACGGGATGGCGGGTTACTCCCCAGGGAGGGCTCCCAACGGCCCACGACGAGGGTGATTCTAACCCACGTAAGTAGGCTGGCATTGGGCAGTGCCCGGACTACTTGGGTAAGTGCCAGTATTCAGATCTTGGCTTATAAAAGCCATTGCACGGCAGGACCTTTCACGGCCGAGTGTGCTGCGGGGCTTCAGGGAACACGCGTGGGAAGCGGCTGTGTTGCAGGCATACCAAGCAGAACCAAATTCGACAAACCCGGGGAGAGGCCAGCCTGTCCTTATTTTGCCCAGACTCTGCCTGTTTGCTTTACGGGTGGGTTCACACAACACACCCTGCTTCGTGGGGTCCCCTCATTCCTACAGGAGAGGGGGCGATTTCCTCTGAGGCCGGTCTGAGGGTCCGAAAGCTAAAGACATTGCTCCCACTCTGCTCTTGTGTCTAGAATCCCTCCAAGCCATGTCATTCTCAGGGACCATAATTTTATGCAGGATGTGATACTGTGTCTTCTGGGGTCTGCTGCACAGTGCCCAGCTACAGCAGATTGATAGTTTTGGTAAAACTTGCTGTGTATTATGTGCCCAGTGACCCTTTTTCTGTGAACACTGAGCCATGAAGCTGAGGTATGTTGCTCCAGAGAAGAGGTGAAACATCCAGGGGACAGAGAAGGAGTTGACAGGAAGGAGGGTGGTTCCTGCTGGACAGAAAGGAAACGAGAAAACCCTTCTAGTGCAGGAGGGAGGCACTAGAGAGGAATGGGGGAGGCAGGGTCATGAGTGTCTATGTTTTCCTCCTGCTCTGGGTTGAATCTGGGTTGGGTAAGCTAGGGTGCTAGAAACACCCAGATAAATTATAGTGAATTCCAGATAGGAAAGGATTTTCTCCTGTTCTTGGAATGAAACCCAGGAACACTGCAAGCCCCCTAAGGAGCTCTGCGCTTGGCTGGTGCCTCACAGGTAGAAGAGAAATGGCCGTGGGAGCCGTCTGGACCCATGTTGGACACGCCCCCAATGCCCCGGGCCCACATCCCCCCAGGAGTCCCTGCCTGCCTGCCTGCAGGAAATCAGAAGTGCTGGCTGGACAGCAGCCTGGAGTAAGCCTGGGTTGGGGAGATAAGGCCACGGGACGTCAGGGACATAGATGACGGCAGGGCCCATAAATGGTGGACCAGCTGCGCCTTCGGGGAACAATGCACGATGCTCAGGGACCAGGGAGGCTGACAAGCCAGCACAAGGAGCAGACACGAGCATCCCCACCCCAACTCCAATGCCAGGGTGATAGTCTGACCTCTGAGAACTTGGGTCACCTGGAGAGAAGGTCAGGAAGAGGGAGAACCCAGAACTGACTAACCTTAACCTCAAACACAATTAAGGTAATGGGACCCAAAGAGACTGCCTTAGTTAGATGAGACTGAATTATTCATCAGTGGGACTGCGGGCTGAAGAGCAAGATGATTCAGGTACAGAAGCTAAAGTTTCACTTTCTGCTGGAGGATATCATTTCAGCTCCAGTGTACCACCTGCAGCAGGAGCAGGGTCACTGCCCACTGCTGTCCTGGCAAAGGGACAGAGGATCAAGACCTTTGAGTGGGGTGATGGCAAATCAGGAGCCTAGAAGGATCTGGGGGAAATCCAGCTGGCTACAGCCCAAGGGCTGTGGGCAGGGCCCCGGGAGACCGGACAGAGGGTCTGGGCTCCACAAAGGATTTTCCTGGGCTCAGGTGCGAATGCACTTTCCCCTCCTGCCCGCTCTGGGTTCATCTGTTCTTTATCATCGCCGCCAGAGGGCAGGCAAGGAAAGGCAGCCAGCAGGCTGTTCCCCGTGCTTTCCAAGGGTTTGGTTGTTTTTAGTTAAATTCTATTAATTGACACTAATATGTGTGAAAGTGCTGAGAGGTGCTATATTGGCGACAACTACTAATATCACAACAGTAATGTTTCTATATTTTATCAAATGTTATCACTTTAATTGCAATAGTCATAGTAGGTGGGGAAAAAAAGTCACCACTTCCTGGTTGTGAGAACTTAGGGAAATCCCTCTGAGCCTCATCGTCCCCTTCTGCAAAAACATTAGCCTCACAGAGATACTTGTGAAGGAGAAAACATACAGAAATGTGCTAAGCACAAGGAGTGGCCAACAGATGCTTAGAAAATGGATCTGAATATTACTTATCATGAAAAACAGTAAGTAATTTAATTTGTACTTTTGTCTACAAAGCATTCCATGTGCTTTATTTAATTTGATTCTCCCAGTTACCCTGTGAGATAACTGATAGAGCAGGTAGGAACGATTGGGAAAATGAGATTTGGGGGAAACCTGTGTATTTCCTTACTGGTGCTTACTTCTCCAAAGCTGATTTTTGAACCCAGGAAGTTGAATGTGAATGAAAGAACTCTTGTCAGATCCAATTACTTATCAGTTGATTATCTAGTTTGTGAAGAGGAGAGGTTTTCCTCTTCCGTACACCTCAATTTCTGCTTTGTCATATATTTTCCTCCTATTACAGTAGTCAGTATCTTCATTGTGAAGATGGCTTCATAATAAAAATGAGGGCAATTAAGTCGATTTAGCTTCTTTTTTGTAGAGCTTTGGAGAGAACTGGAGTAGGACAAACGTCTGAAAATATTTATGTAAGTTTTGAAATACTTCTTGACAAAAATATACAGTTTTAAAGTATATTAAATCAAAGAAATTGTCATGAAGTAGAAGTTACAATCTCAGCTGCACTTTTTTTTTTTTTTTAAGAAATAGAACATTTGGCTTGAAGAAGATGGGATTCACCGGGGTTATGACAGCTGTTGTTTACTATTTGTGTGCATGACAAGCGGAAAAAAATTTAGACTTATCTTGCATACCAAGTGGTACACTGGCTCAACGTAAGAAAGGAATGATAAGGAGGGCTGGTTAAAGACTAAATGAGCTGATGAGGTATGAGTCCCCCACGCCTGGAGAGGCTTGACAGTGGCTGATTACCAATCAGCTTCTAGTACCTGATGGATGGTTAAATAGGGGACTTTTGCAGTTCCTTCCAGCTCTGTTATTCCCTCATTCCATTTGAGATAATATTTTCAAGTTTCCTCTAATATATTTTTATAGAGAGGTCACCTTGAGCCAGACAGCAAGTGCTGGGGACCAATTCTATTCTAAGTTGGGGGTTCAAGAGATTATAAGGAACCTCATCAGTAACACAGGGGGTTCAATATGGAGACACCTTTGCTACCGGCCCTGAAGCCCATTTCTCAGTACCGGGTCCCTCTACTCTGTGTCCTTGGTCCAGCAAATGAATCTGTAAAAGATGTTACTAGATGCCTGCATTGCCCACACCCTGACCCATTTCTCCCAGTCACAAGTGATCAGACTGAGGATGGGCAGGCCAGCCAGTCCACTGTGGCCTGGAGGGCAGGGATGAGCTGCGACAGTGACATGGCTACGCCAAGAGTCTGGGAGTCTGACCTGTAAACTTGGGGACCGCATACAAGATACGTAGGCATAAAGATGTTAAAAAAAAAAAAAAAGATACGTAGGCAGAGGAAGCTGATCAAAATGAAAAGGAGTAGGGAGAGAGAAAGAGAGGAAAGAAGGGACTTTGAGATGACAGAGACAACTTGGCTTACGAGGGAAAGCGAGCAGCCTTGATTTCTGATGGGTTTTCTATTCCAGGAAGGCCTGGATGGAATAGAAATGATAATACCATACCTAACATTTACTAGGTACTCGGTTTATAGTGGCCACTGCATGAAGAGTTTTGCAGGGATTATTTATTTTTTTAATTCTCACAGTATTCCTATAGCAAAGGTACCATCATTATCATGGTTTTACTGATGAAAAAAAATGAGATTCAGGGAGACAAAGCGACTTGTTCAAGGTCATACAGTTCATAAGCAAAACTGGGACTGTGTTTCATATTCTTATCCATATCCCTGTAACTACCAAGTTGCTCAATTCCCCCATCCGCAGTCCCAGCCCCGAGACGTGACTCTGGCTTCCTAGCTGGCTCTTAGAATTCTGTCCTGCTCAGGAGCCCGGGCCCTGTATCGGAGCCTTGTTCCAGCTCCCAGTCACTGATCACCATGCCCTGCAGCCTTCCAGGCCTTATGAGCACTCTGCCCAGGCCACAGGGTGTCCTCTGGCAGTCAACACGGCTTTTCTTTCTTTCTTTTTTTTGCTGTACGCGGGCCTCTCACTGTTGTGGCCGCTCCCGTTGCGGAGCACAGGCTCCGGACGCGCAGGCTCAGCGGCCATGGCTCACGGGCCCAGCCGCTCCGCGGCATGTGGGATCTTCCCGGACCGGGGCACGAACCCGTGTCCCCTGCATCGGCAGGCGGACTCTCAACCACTACGCCACCAGGGAAGCCCAACACGGCTTTTCTGAGAGCAGAGGGCATGCAAGCAGCAGGGCCTCCCTACTGTGGTCCTCTCCCTTCTCGGAACCCTTAGGACATTGCACCCATCTGCTGACTCTATGTTGCCCGTTGCCCACCACTGGGTTGCCCTCCAAGCTTACAACCTGGGAGAAAGGATACTGTCTGGGTCCCAGCATCTCTGCATACAAGTCCAAACCAAGGCTTCTGATAGAGAAGGCATTTTATAAGATGGCGTTTCGGTCAGGCTTCAAAGAAATGCTGATTAGCATATTAAGAGGACTAGACAGAGATGAGTGATGACAGGCCAACCTCAGCCCCAGGTAAACAGAGCCCGACCTTCGCCACTCTATAAAAGCATCATGTTAATGGGCTGCGTGAGTTGAGCTGTGAAAAGTATATGTCAAAGCAAAATTTTGGTAGGAAAACAGACTAACTAGCCATCTCAGCTAGTGATTAAAAAGGTTTGAGTCATAACTCTACTTGGTGAGGACACATAGAAAGAACTGAAAATGAGGTTTTAAATGACTGTGGATTTCAATTATGTCTGTGACTCTTGACCTCTTTATTCAGGACAGCTTAGAAGGGAACATTTTCAAGTTTCAAAACAGTAATTTAGTCTTTCCAGGGATAAAAAATTAAAAAGAAAGAAAGAAAAAAAAAAGAAATTAGTCATCCCAAAATCTGCCTATGGCTTGCTTTATGCATATGATTCCTTCTACAAGAGTACTAAGAAGGTTTTCAGTTAGCTCTTCAGTGATAGAATTACAAGGAAAAGTCATTTCTACTACCGTTCAGGTTCCCTGAAGCTCAGATCAAATGTTAGCTGAATAATTTCAATGCAGCTTCATTCACATCCTGGCACAGTGTACCATAAAATGTCAGGACTCCTTGGAATGGCAAAGCAAAAATTAGAAATCAGATTTATCTAAAAATATTAAGAAATTAAACCAGGCAGATATCCTTGTCCTTATTTTGTAAATTCAAGAATTTTCTGACAATGATTCAATGTGTCAGCTGAGATTTCAGAATAAAACATTGGCTTCCAAATGTCCTACCTATATAACCGTCTACCACGTACAGGCCATTTTAATGGAAACTTTTAATTAGACTTTTTTTTTAACCTCTTCGTAACTTGTGACCAAGTCAGCTGGGATTGATATCACTTCTGCTGTATTTCTGACACTTCTTGTTTTCTTAGAATGGAATTAAACATGCAAAGTTTACTCTTTTACAGAAGACAGAACTTGGACTAGTCTGACCTGGCTAGATCACCTTTAACTATAAGCTTGTGGTAGTAAAAAGATTATGGTGTGAGGGTACAAAGGGGTTACTGGCACTCTATGAAAAGGAAAAATTTCATCACTTTTCCTCCCTAAAGCAATTCGTATTTTATAAAACACCTCTCCCTAAATAACAATCTTTTCAGATCTGGACACTCACAATTCCAAACAGTTGCATTAGATGCAGTTGTTGGAAGGGCATGTCACTTGCTCCTTGACCTAAGGGTGGGCTCCTCCCCTTCCCAGGCTGGGTCGCCCACTTTGCCCAGGTTATCCTCACTCCTGACGGATGAAATACAGCTGCGGTGTGTTGTGGCTACCACGGCACTGATGGCTTACTCTTTTTTTTTTTTTTTTGCGGTACGTGGGCCTCTCACTGTTGTGGCCTCTCCTGTTGCGGAGCACAGGCTCCGGACGCGCAGGCTCAGCGTCCATGGCTCACGGGCCCAGCTGCTCCGCGGCATGTGGGATCTTCCTAGACCGGGGCACGAACCCGTGTCCCTTGCATCGGCAGGCGGACTCTCAACCACTGCGCCACCAGGGAAGCCCTACAAGCAGAGTTTTTGAAGTGCCAGATGTACAGAGAGACTTGACCATCTTGATAATCTCTCATTTCTAAATTCACAGTGGTACCCTCAATAATGGCCTCCAAATCAAACTTAAGCAATCTAAAATAAATTCCTTTCATTAATTTTCAAAAATGAAGACTCTGATTCAGAATCAATCAATGATTTCAAAATAAGAAGGACCAACAAGAAAATACTAAATTCCAATTCCCAAATGTCAACATTGGAAGGTATGGAAGTGCTATTTTTTTCTAAAAGCATCCTTTCCCAGGAGTATTACTGGGGCCATCCAAACCTAAGCACATCTTTAAAATTCTAAAATTATGATCTTATATTCATAGCAGTGTCTGTCACATGACAAGTGCTCAAGAAATACAGAGTGAACATTGAATAAAACAATTATCAAAATTTGGGAACTTGAAGATATTATCAGGATCATTTTGTCCAGCCTTCTAATTTTCAGATAAAGTAACAGAGGTCCAGAGAGGTTCATTTACTTGTTCAAAACCACACAGCTAGTTAGTGGCAGAGCTGGATCTAAAACTCAGGATTCCTGACCTCCAATCCACTTTGCCCAAAGGCTCTTTCTTTTCTCACGTTCCTTAGGCACTTGGATTTCTAAAGTCTGAAGAAGCCTGTGGCCAAGAGCTCAGGCTGACCTTAAGGTTCCTATAGCTATTCACTAACGAGAATACAGGTCTTCCCATATCAGGCCACATGACAGTGGGAATCTGCCTGCATGTCATTTACTGGTAAGTTATCAGCTTGACTTTTCCCTAGAAAACTACCTTTAAAGTACTGTTACCTTAATCTGAAATGTTTTGTTAAAAACAAATGGATTAGTGCAGAAATAGTTATGAGAGGCTAATTATAATACCTTACATTTGGATGGCTCTTTACCATTTATAAATGTGGCCTGTATTACCTTGTAGTCCTGTTCCTTTAAGTATCAGTTAATTGATTTGCCAGATAACAACTTCTTTTGGTAAATGAAGTCTCAGTGGTGGTGTAATGGTGAGAGATGAAGGTGCAGAACCCAGTAATGATTCCAAGAACATGGACTCCTCTTTGGCTCAGCACAAGAAGTGGTGGGTAAGAGATAAGGCAGCATATCAGCAGAGGGACTGAGCAAGGGCAAGGCTACCTGACCCGCCTCTATTTACACATGTCCCAGGCTAGCCTACTCTCCTGACCCCAGTACAGCCATCATTTATTTGAACAGGAGGTGGCAGAGAATGTACTTGACCTCAGACGCCAAACATCCTGAATAGTGGTGTCAGCCTGATTTCATAGGCTTTCGAGTGAGCCCAAGGCAAAGAACAGGGAAAACCCTAATCAAAGATGAACTTTTACCCAGAAGCAAAAGGGTTTAGAGACGCCCAGTGCTAACTGGTTATCTTAGGTACGTGCTGCCGCAGGCCCGCCCCGCCTACCGCCCCATGCGCACGCGCAAACATTACCTGCCTCGGCTGGTTGACCTTTGCTCCTGAGGACAACAGTAATCGAATCACATCCAAATAACCACCTTGGGCAGCTAGGAAGAGCGCGGTGGCGCCATCCTGACAGATAGCAAATTGAAAGTGTTAACAAGCCATCTTTCACATTTATTATAAAAGAAATTAGATTTTTATTTCCTCCACTCCCCCCCTTTAAACACGTGTGGCGTTTTCTTCATTTAGAAGAACCATCCTAAAACATCACACTAAGTCAGGCTGAAAGGTAAAGTTTAAAATAGACAGTTGTATAAGGATGAGTTACGACATATGTAATGACTGTTCCCTCTATAAAATCTTGGTCATACAGCTTATGATGCATCTAGTTGGAAAACTCAAGTTTTCCAAATAATCGTCATTTTCCTCTGTCTGCATAGGCTTCTCATTAGCTGCCTTCTGCTTTTGTTGCATGATCTCAGAGTCCACCCTCTTGTATTTAGATTTTAAAAACATACACCTTTAATACAATTTTCCATTGCAGTCCTTTTGTCACTGAGAGCTAAGTGTTCATGAAAAAACAAAAAACAAAATAAAATCTGTTAATGAAAAACAAAAGAGAAATCCCTCAAATCTATTTTGTGTGCTCTAATGAATTGGGAATGAAAAGTATCCTTTGAATTAGATATTACCTACTCCTTTCTCTTTCGTGCTCCCTTATCCATGTTCTCCCAACATGCAGTTCCTCTGAGCTTTAAAACACAAGATGCTTCCAGAATACCCACCCTGGTAAGAATGTCCATGAATTCTCTCCATGCCAGCCCAGCAGACGCCAACAATACCTAAACACACAACTAAGCAGTCGTGCATAAAAAGCCCAAAGCAAGTGCTTGTTTCTAATTTTCTTTAGTTTTCTTTTTAACTGGGCCTGTACATCTTTTGGGCGTTTCTTTTTTCTTGAAGACATATCATTGGTTAATTTCAGCAAGTACATCGGTCAGTTGAGAGCATACCTCCTGTCCCGGTGCTTACTTCACACAGACAGCATTCACAGAACAGAGTGAGCCTCATTACTTTCAGACCTAAGTGGAAAACTACTTAACCCAGCTAATTACTGCCCCTCACGGTCAGGAACACTAACCACAGGATCAAAGCACCTTCCCTACAAGTCCAACCAGGCAGAGGGTGCTGAATTTCCAGTGGGGGTCAGCTGAGCTGCCAGACTGCCCTCAACGCAATCATTGAAAAAGTAATCAGCCTGTACAGATTCTTTCTTTGTTTTTGGCCATGCCACTCGGCATGTGGGATCCTAGTTCCCTGACCAGGAATCAAACCCGCACCCTTGCAGTGGAAGCTCGGAGTCTTAACCACTGGACCGCCAGGGAAGTCTCAGCCTGTACAGATTTTTAAGCAAATGTTTGATATGGGGATACAATTTTCAGCTGTTCCTTACTGTGTTGCCACAGAAAGTCTTCCCTGCCCTTAGCAGCTGATAACTCTTAGGAATTTTCCAAAACGGATCTCCATGCATTGGATTTTTTTTACTGTGCGTTACACATTTCTGTTCCTAGAAGTTTTCAAGAATCATTGACACTCCCTGCCCCCTGCCCTGTATTTCAACTGTTTTTAATGGAAACATTTATATTTGGACTGTTTAGGTAAGGGTAAAAGTCAATACAAAATGGAAGTTCTGGTACATGAAATTTCTAGGTTACCTTATAACAGAGAGGAATTTACCATGGGAATGGGATCTCCCCAAACTCTACATTTCTAAAAGTAAGTGTTGCTTCAAGGAGCCTTATGGAAGAACGTTAGCTAACAGTACAAAATCTATACCCACAGTCAATTTGGATTGCTGACTATTAATGGTAATGCTACGAAAACAATAACCCATTTTCCTTTTCCAAAGACAGGGGCTCTTCCTATTCAACCTGCACATACATATACTCATACACACTCTCAGATACAACTTCACTATATACAGTTGAAGAAATACAGAGCTGCAGACCCCTGTTTCTCAGATGTGGCCACATGTCAGAACCACCTGTTGCCCAAGCTGCCCTCAGAGACTCCAGTTTAGTTGGTTAGGGGTGGGCCCAGGAAGTGGAATTTTTTTTAATGCTCCCTGGTTCTAATGGACAGCCAGAGTTGAGAATCACTCCCTCAGACCACAGTCAAGTAGTTTAGTCATTGAACCAGGAATGCTACAAGTTCACAGAGTGGTAACAGATTTTGAAGTGCAAAGCCTAAGGCTAGTTTCTATGGATTTCAGAGAGGCTGGTGATTTGTCAGAGGTATCTGTGTAAACTCTGGAAAGGGTGTTCAAATGGAAAAATTCACACACATCTCATTACACGTCTATGAAAGTATAGCACCCCTGGGCATAGGGCTCATGTCCAGTGGTACAATAGCCTAAAATATGGTTCCTAGACAAATGGAAGCAGGAATTCTTCCACTCCTCACCATGAGACTGTCAAGTCACTTTATCTCCCCATATTTTTTTTTTTTCCTCCAAAACAAGAATAACATTTGCCATAAATTCTACGCAATTAGAGTGACCATTAAAAATGCTTGGGTAATGTGCTAATGGCCAATTAGCTGCAAACAGACCCACACTGGCAGTGAATGCCTTTCAGGGTCAATGCCGTGCATGTATTTCAGAGGTCTTCATTCACCCATCCTCACTTCTCTTCCAAATAACTTGATTTCTCCTTTTTTGTGTTCTTCCTCCCAAATAACTCTACAACAGGAGGACTTATGTTGGTTTTCAGCAAGTCCATACACTGGGCTTGTCATGTTATAAGTAAGTATGTATCACATTATTTTTGAAGCTCTTAATTACATAGGTCCATGACATATATCATATGTGCAAGAGATTTAAAAGGCAGAGCAAAGATGGGTAAATAAGATTATGGGTTTCTACATAGAAAAAGCTCACCTGGTTAACTCTATCTTTTTCCTTTGATGTCTCAGACGCCACTTCTTTTTTTTTTTTTAACCCATATTCAAACTGTTCTTTATTCTGCCTAACATGCATTGATACAATTCTAAGCTGAAGGTCACCAAGGAATATTTTATTGGTTCTTCTGTTCTTTTTAGATCCATGAGATGATCAGACAAGAAATTCTGGAGCAAGTCCTCAACAGGGTTGTTACCATAGGATCCTCCCCCATCACTCATTTCATAGGTATTGAACTTTGGAAGGGTAGATAAAGTTGTCAGGAACATTTTTATTTAAATGTCATAATGCTTTTGGTCCTGGAAAAAAAATTTAATGATACAGTAGATCGACATCTTTAATGACATCTTTGATTATGATGCCAGTAAAACATAAATGCATTTATATTGTCTATGGTTGTCAAGAAGGAAAGGAGCATATAACTAATGAGTGAAACTTCTATCTTGCATCTATTTTCTCACTTCTCAGGTGAGTGCTGTCCTTCTACTATCACTCATTGACCTCCCATTCTCTTAACCCTTGACATTCTGACTTCAGTACTGGTCACCTTGGTGACCTCTGAGTGTTTTGCTCTTTTAATACATATATCCTAATGCCTAAATCCACTGGTCATATCTTAATCACCAACTTTCTTAATTTCTCTGTCATTCTACACTGTTTACAACTCCCCTGAAGTTCTCTGATAACTGTAATAATTTGCATCAGATGCCACTTCTGGCATCGGAATTTAGACTGCGATGCTATGTGTGATAAGGGAATGAGCAAGTGTCCCCCCGAGAGCCCCCCTGAAACACACTCACATAAAGTTGGTCATGGATGTTGGCTCCGTGCTTCAGCAAGGTCTCCACCACCTTCATGTGCCCATACTGACTGGCGGCCAGCAGGGCAGTGCCCCCGTCCTGCGGTCATGAGAAGTATAAACGCGTTAGAAACAGTGAGAGCACAAATCTTACGTGCAGATGCTCTTCACATGGTGAGAACTTTGGAAAAGAATTTTCCATACATAATAACAAACTCACTTTTCCTCTTTTACCTCTTTTACTTTTTCTTTATAATCATGACAGTTCATCTTAAGGGCATCATTATGTTGTATACTGGGGTGACTTGCTTGAGATATATTACAGCTATTTGCTAAGTTATTATAATTAATTTAGAAATTTCTCATGTCAAACGCAGAATCATCTCTTTGCCTCTCAATAAAGGAAACAGAACAGGAAGTCTGTACCAATCAGTTGTGTCTTGGAATCACCATAATCATCTCCTGTGGTTTCACCAGAGACCCAACTGACAAACATTGGCTTCTCCCCGTGGGTCCACCCAGTTGTAGGTCTCTGAGATTAAGGTGTTTTTAGGGAGTAGCCCTCTTGGGCCCCTGCCTTCATGGGATGAGAGCTGCATGCACTGAAAGCGGGGATAACTGCAGCCTATTCCATGTGCCTCTCACTCTCCTGCTTTGCATTTTCCTTTGAACATGTGCCAATCTGTCCAGACCTCTTTTAAAACGTGGGCGCTAGGACTCAACAGAGCACTGCAAAGTAGATGCGGCCTGATGGGACATTCCTTGGTTCCATCTCCTCTACTTTTATCTGTGCCTAAATTAGAATTAGCTTTTAAGCCAACCACACCAAATACTGACTCACTGAGTTTGTGGTCAACTGAAACCCTTTCTTTTTTTTTGGCTGCATTGGGTCTTCATTGCTGCGTGTGGGCTTTCTGCAGTTGCGGGGAGTGGGGCTACTCTTCGTTGCAGTGCACAGGCTTCTCATTGCGGTGGCTTCTCTTGTTGTGGAGCACAGGCTCTAGGCACGTGGGCTTCAGTAGTTGCGGCACACGGGCTTAGTACTTGTGGCTCATGGGCTCTAGAGCGCAGGCTCAGTAGTTGTGGTGTGTGGGCTTAGTTGCTCCGTGGCATGTGGGGTCTTCCCGGGCCAGTGCTTGAACCCGTGTCCCCTGCGTTGGCAGGTGGATTCTTAACCACTGCACCATCAGGGAAGTCCGTGAAGCCCTTAATGGTTTTTCTCAGGTGCTGGGCTGAGGCTTTCTCTTTTCCCATCTAGGATTGTTGTGTTCTTTGGCTCTGTGAATGGGTATGTGGACATTTGAGCCAACTGTAAACAATCGAAGAACGTGGAATCTGGTTCTAAAATACAAGTCATAGATATAAGATAGTGTGGTTTCTAAATTTGGGCATAGAGTGTTTATTCAAAATGGCTACCCTTGCAGCCCCACCCTCAGATTCAGTAGGTCTGGAGTGAGGCCCAGAAATAGGCATTTGACCAGCCATGTGAGGTGACCGAGAGGTGCAGGAGGCAGGTGGGCATCCCTTGGAGAAACACTGCTGCACATGGTCCTGCATTCACAGGCAGGCAAGGTGCTGGGGGATACACATGGCTGAGTAAGGCTGCAGCAAGGGCCCGGCTGGGTGGTGGGAAGAGCTGCGTTTTGAAGGGTGGGGAATGGAGGAGAGAGACTGGAGGGCTGAGGCTGGTGGGGGTGGGTGTAGGTGGAGGCGGGTGGGCATTAAGAAGTTGCTTATTAAGCTATTAGCAGCAACGAGCACCAGCGTTTCCAAGTTTTGTTGTGTCAATCTTCCTAGCTCTTTGCCTAATGGGTTTAGAGAACAGATAAAACATGATGATCATCATAGAAGAGCTGATACCTTTTATTTTAAAAAACACATTTTTGGGGACATAGGTTCAATGACAATGAGAACAGTTGACACAAAGTCAGTTGTTTTTTGTTTTGTTTTGTTTTGTTTTGTGGTATGCGGGCCTCTCACTGCTGTGGCCTCTCCCACTGCGGAGCACAGGCTCCGGACGTGCAGGCTCAGCGGCCATGGCTCACGGGCCCAGCTGCTCTGCGGCATGTGGGATCTTCCCGGACCGGGGCATGACCCCGTGTCCCCTGCCTCGGCAGGCGGACTCTCAACCACTGCGCCACCAGGGAAGCCCACAAAGTCAGTTTTGATGACAGGATCATATTAAAACTCAAAGCCTCCTGACACTGTCTTCTTCCCATGGAAAACTCTTGGCCACCTGCAGTTGACCTAATGGAAACATGTGGAACTGCTCGCCCTGGGTCCCACGTTCCATGGATTTCTGGGACAGCACAAACTGGCTCAAAGGCCAGCATTAACTCATTAGCCAAGAAGAATGAAGCAGCCACATGGTCACACACGATTGTTTGACGTACTTCAGAGTTGAGTCAGGTTTGTAGAACTTTTTATTTTTAGTTGTATCACTTTTATAATTAAAAATAAAATGATATTTAATATAAAATATGTGTACACATGTATTTTGGATTACTGTATGTTATATTCAGCATGTCTGGAGGCATGTACACAGTCCAACAGTAGGTTTTAGAAAAGACAGAAACCCTTTCTGAAATTCAGATCTACTTAATAGTGTTTTAACAGGAAAAAAAAAACTCCACTGGAAACCACTTTGATATCAAAATATCACATACAATAAATTAAGAAAACCTAAAAGTTTCCAACTAGGGCACATTTTCAGGAATTTTTTATGACTGAAGTAATTTTTTTATGACAGAAATAAGTTTTCAGTTACAATGTGATGGCAGTTCAAATTCTTCTACTACAAAGCATTATCATGAAAAGTTATGTTGTGAACACAAAATTTATCTTTCTGCAGCCTCAGATTTCTTATCCACATGTCAAACATGTAGAATCAATGACTTCTTCAAAGGAAGAACCACAATTCCTTGCCCAACTATATAAACTGTAATCATATATAATTCAGTGAGGACATTTCAGAAAGTAAACTGTCTGCCAAACCCTCCTTAGAAATCTCTCAGATTCACTAGGATTGGCTTAATCCTTCCAACAATTCCTATCATAGCACTGGGAATAACCTTGAAGCAGAAAAAAGCATATGAAAACAGGGAAAGTTATAAAGCACCTGCTATTGTATCCATCCTGATAACAAAATTTAGTGTCCCAGAGTAGAAAGTTACCAGTACAAGAAAGAATCTAAGCAATTCCTCCCACCCCAAGTTCTCCAATTGTGAGCCCAAAGTAAAAATGTCATGTTTTGAATTGGATTCCTAGGACTACCCCTGAATCATTACAATTTAACCTTGTGAAACCCACCTTCTTAGGCTTGAAAATCTTGTAAAAAGCAAAGCAAAAATTCATACTATAGATGAAGAGAAATGAAAACTCATGACTGCTGAAATTCTTCAACAAGGTATAAAATCAAGAAAATTCTCTTACTTTGGTCCTAAATTCAGTGGATGCTCCAAATTCAAAGAGAAATCTCACAACATCATTATGTCCTTGTTGAGCAGCAAAGAACAGGGCAGTTGTACCTGACTGAGAGAGAGAGAGAGGCTGGTTTTCAAAGATATTTGGTCACATTACATTTGATTTATATGCTTGCAAACAAAAGAAAACAAAATCCTTGCATATAAACTTCCAGCCTAGGAGGGGGCTATATTTGAACAGACTGTATTCCTTGTTCAGGTAAGTGACCAGTGTAGAGGCTGCTGGGTTCCAGAAATGTTAAGATGTAACAAGGTCTGAATGAGGAAACTGGGCTAGAATAGGAAAACTCCCATCTTTCTTTTTTTTGGCTGCCCTGTGCACATGCGGGATCTTAGTTCCCCGACCAGGGATCAAACCCGTGTTCCCTGCAGTGGAAGCGTGGACTCCTAACCACTGGACTGCCAGGGAAATCCCTCACCTTCTTAATAGACATGAATTTTAGAGACTACCAAAGTGTGCAAATGCTATGTGTCTAGAGAGCCAACTAAAGGAAACAATGGCAGGTACATCTTCAGGAGACAAATATTCTGATATGGCAAAATGGATTACAGATGAACCGAGGAAGTCTGCTCTAAGCGTCAGTTCCACAGCACTGCCAGGCACTCTCTTCCAGCTTCCAAAACATGCGGGGTCAGGTCAGGGCCTCTCTTTGGCTATTTTTCCAGACTGACCTGGCTCAGGGAATTCTGGGGGTCACCAGGGACCTACACATCATCGTTATTTGCACCACACAGGTTACCTCTAAACCCAACACACTTAATTCCTCAAGGGTCACTGTGTTCAATGCACAATAGTTTTCATCACCAAGAACATTAGTTGAGCAGTTGGAACCAAACAGATAAATATAAAGACCATAAAAACCATACTTTGGGTGGAAATCAAACAAACGTTTCTCTTCTGCTCCTAAGAGATTTTTGTGTATGCTGACCTAGCCCTTCACAAGAAAGTCTTTGAGTAAGCAGATCTGGACTGTATTGTTTTTATTAGAGAAAATCTGTCTTTTCTTTAAAGTTAAAATAAACAAAGGCTGTAAAGCAGAGAGGAAAAATAAAACGATTAGGGAAGTTTTAAAGTCGAATTCTAAGGGGGCCCAAACATCTTCCTTCCAGAAGAGAAAATCAGCTGCCGAAGTGAAAATGACCTAAAACAATGATTCGCTGTTGTGGAAATTACTCAGAAGAATCTGTCCGTGAGGAGACTGGATGGATTTCCTGTAGTCTCTGTACTGCTCCTCTCAAGGCCCAGGCTTGCTGATCCGGGGCTGTGGAGAACCGGTGTCCAGATGCTATCTATCAAGGGTCATTCTCCCACCGTCCGCAGCCAAGGTGACACCCAGAGGGGACAGGGAGGGACTTCTAGATGCCCCCAGGAAAATGCAGACCTTACACATGGTGTGTCTTACTCTTCTGCACTCAGGGATGGGGGTCCAGCCTGGGAGAAGGGTGTTTTGCTTGCTGAAAGTTTGGTTGGTGAATCATCCTTTCTGAAACACCTGCAGGTCAGGGCCTCTGATAAGAGTGGATCAAGGAAAACCAAGCGCTCCTGTCTGGTTTGGAGCTTGCCCCTGTATGCCCACCTCGGGTCTGAGTCTCTGTGGACTGAGGTCACATTCGCTCTAGGTGTGACCTTGGGTGTGTCTCCACAAAGGTGAACTCACCAGGCCCTAGACTGGCTTGGAAATACATGCAGCCTCCCCAGGCCTGAATCCCCAGCCTCCCACTGCTCCTCTGCATCGGACTGAGAATGGATCCTCTGGCTAGATAGGACTCCTGAGACGGCCCTTGAACGACTGTGTGAACAGGCTCACATTTTAGTCCGATGTTCGCCACATGCTTTTTGGAGAGAGAACTTATTTAACTCATGGCTGGTCAGAGAAGCCCTTTGCAAACATGGTTTGGTGAGAATGGCTGAGGTAGGCGAGCCAGTGAGCCTAGCTAACAGTGGGTGACCCAATCCTTCTAAAAATATAATGATCTCTGTGAAAATCCTATACCTTCTATAGCATCTCACCCCAAGGAAAGAAGGAAGAAGTGATTTAGGCTCAGGGCAAAACATATGGGTGTTTAAGGAATGTGGTTGGAGGTTTTGTTATGTCAGATGTAACACGGGCCTAGAAGATTTGTTCAACTGAAGTAAAACCAACAGTCCCTCCCTGGGCCTTATTTAGACACAATGCAGTCTGCAACCTGGGCTTTAATGTCATATAGGAAAAAAGCAATGATTACAGTCAGCCCTCCATATCCACAGGTTCTGCATTCATGGATTCAACCAACCACAGAAAGAAATATTTAAAAAAAATTTCCACAACCGCTATGGAGAACAGTATGGGGGTTCCTTAAAAAACAAAAATAGAGCTACCATATGATCTGGCAATCCCACTCCTGGGCATATATCTGGAGAAAACCATGATTCAAAAAGATACATGCACCCCAGTGTTCAATGCAGCACTATTTACAATAGCCAAGACATGGAAGCAACCTAAATGTCCATCAACGGAGGAATGGATAAAGAAGATATGGTACATATATACAATGGAATATTACTCAGCCATAAAAAATAATGAAATAATGCCATTTGTAGCATCATGGATGGACCTAGAGATTATCATACTAAGTGAAGTAAGTCAGAGAAAAACAAACATATGATATCACTCACATGTGGAATCTAATTAAAAAATGATACAAATGAACTTATTTATAAAACAGAAACAGACATAGATTTCGAAAACAAACTTACACTTACCAAACGGTGGGTGGGGAGGAATAAATTAGGAGTTTGGGATTAACACATACACACTACTTTATGTAAAACAGGTAACCAACAAGGACCTACTGTATAGCACAGGGAACTCTACTCAATATTCCGTAATAACCTATACAGGAAAAGAATCTGAAAAAGAAAGAATATATGTATATGTATAACTGAATCACTCTGCTGTACACCTGAAACTAACACAACATTGTAAATCAACTATACTCCAATAAAATTTTTTTAAAAAAGAAAAATTCCATAAAGTTCCAACTTGCCATGCACCAGCAACTATTTACATAGCATTTACATCGTATTAGATATTATAAGTACTCTAGAGATGATTTAAAGTACATGGGAGGATATGCGTAGGCTATATGCAAATACTATGCCATTTCACATAAGGAACTTGAGTATCTGCAGATTTTGGTATCCACAGGGGGTCCTGGGCCCAATCCCCTGCATATCCGGAGGGATGACTGTACTCTAGTCCTTTTTAACAATTCACCATTGTGAGAACTTCACATCTCTGTCACCGGTGTTATTCTTTTTTTTTTTTTTAACATCTTTATTGGAGTATAATTGCTTTACAATGGTGTGTTAGTTTCTGCTTTATAACAAAGTGAATCAGTTATACATATACACATGTTCCCATATCCCCTCCCTCTTGCATCTCCCTCCCTCCCACCCTCCCTATCCCACCCCTCCAGGCGGTCACAAAGCACCGAGCTGATCTCCCTGTGCTATGCGGCTGCTTCCCACTAGCTATCTATTTTACGTTTGGTAGTGTATATATGGCCAGGCAACTCTCTCACTTTGTCCCAGCTTACCCTTCCCCCTCCCTGTATACTCAAGTCCATTCTCTAGTAGGTCTGTGTCTTTATTCCCATCTTGCCCCTAGGTTCTTCAGAACCACTTTTTTTTAGATTCCATATATATGTGCTAGCATATAGTATTTGTTTTTCTCTTTCTGACTTACTTCACTCTGTATGACAGACTCTAGGTCCATCCACCTCACTACAAATAACTCAATTTCGTTTCTTTTTATGGCTGAGTAATATTCCATCGTATACATGTGCCACATCATCTTTCTCCACTCAACTGTCAATGGACACTTAGGTTGCTTCCATGTCCTGGCTATTGTAAATAAAGCTACGTTATTCTTATTCACGTGCAAAACCTGACTTACCTCTCTCTGGAGATTGATGTCAGCTCCCTGCAGGACGAGCTCTCTCACACAGCCTATGTGGCCAGCATAGGAGGCGATCATGAGGAGTGTTGTGCCATTCTGGGTGGGGGAGAGACAGATGAGCAGTCAGGCCACGTGACACCAGAGAGGTGGCCTGGAGAAGATGCCGCAGACGTCAGCTCCTCCCAGGACACGTCCAAGCTGAGCGCAACATCTCCCGCAGTAAATAAAAGTGTCTCGTGAGTAATCTTATAATGCAGACCAAACAGGAAAAAGCAAAGTGACAAATTGCTGAGGCTGGAATTTTCCATTCAAACATTCACTTACTTCCATTAACCTCAGACACGCAGTCCAAGTGAACCATGGTTATTGCATTTTGAGGCAGCAGTGATGTAGTGGCCTCGTTTTATGATTCCTGAGCCAAAACACCCTTATTAATGCAAAAAAGTGGGTTAAGTGGTACTAGTTGGTTTTCTGAGTTTAGAATTCTTTATTTTCAAACTGATTCAGGTAAAGATGCAACGAAAGACTACAGAAGTGAGAGTCAGGAGCCCCGGCGCCGGGGTCCACCTCTGTCATCAACCAGCAGCGTAACCTGGGGCACACTGCTCACAATTCCTGGGGCTCATTTCCTTCAGCTTTAAAATGAGGGGCTGGATGATATGATTGCCAAGGGCCCTGCCAGCTTTAAGATTCAAGGACTTGAGACGTACCACCTGATGTTCCAATTCAAGTGGACTTTTGTGGTTTAATTTACATTTGTTTTCAAGGGCTCGAAACTGTAATCTGAACCACCTCTTCTGTGTGGTCAGCAGCCTGCTTCTGTGGAGAGGATAAGAGAGAGACAGACGGCTCTGAATGTGAGGAAGCCTCACTAGGTACAGGGTGGTGATTCTTAGAAGCCTCGTGCTATATATTCAATACATCTGTGGGATTTTGTAGGAAGGCAGTAGAGTTGAGTGGTCACTGACAGTATGATTCTGGGCTGGTTATCTGAGCTTTCAAAGGCTCATTCACCTCATCTGTAACGCGGACTAGTAAAAGTATCTGCCTGATTAAATTAAATGGGAAAAAGCAATAATTCAGGCGATGTGCTTAGCTTAGTAATGTTAAATATTCAGTAAGAGTTAGATGTTAAAATAAGATGCCTCAGTAAATGTGAGATTATTATTTGGTTTTTGTTGACTCGTGTGAAAGACAATCCTAGTTTGGGGAAAGTCTTGTTTGCTATAAGTAAAAGTACAGGTAGAATCAAGAAGAGCTAGTGGCTTCACAGAAGTGCTTTATGATATTCTTCTAACCCCACGTGACCGCATTTGGTATCTGAATGTAAGGCCTTCATGTCGGCTGTACCACCTACCATTCCGGGGGACTTCGTCCTCCATGTTTTTCAAGATTAGAGTAGCCAACTTGGCGTTACCAAATTCCTCTTGAATGTGAGAACATTTTTATTCAGCATTCAGACAGAAGATTCCTTGATTTAAAGCCAGTCTGAATAGGCAAGCTACGAATGTATCCTTTGCGTGAGAGATGAGAAAATTTTTTCATCGTGGGTCACACTGGTCTCAAAATACAAATCAATCATGAGCTACAGGAACCACAGAGCACTTAACTTGGATATTTTAAAAAGAAAATAAAAAACAACAGGCTCATCTATTTTACAGTAAGGGAAGATGAATGAAACAAATAACCAAAAAGCTCCTTTATACATTGTACTTCACTTCTACATCATGGTCGACTGAGGAAAAGTCAGAGGTTGGGACAAAGGAGAAATAGAATACAAAGCTCACGCGCCTAGAGCCTGTGCTCCGCGACAAGAGAAGCCACCGCAATGAGAAGCCTGCGCACCGCAACGAAGAGTAGCCCCCGCTCGCTGGAACCTGAGAAAGCCCGTGTGCAGCAACAAAGACCCAATGCAGCCAAAAATATAAACAAACAAATTAATTAATTTAAAAAAGAGGAGGGATCTGTGGATGTATTAAGCTACACAAAGCTGGAAGTCAGGAGGTCACAGGTGGTGTCTGAAAAGGGGTGACTTTAAGAAAAAGGAGTCAAGTGGTCATCAACATGGTCAGTGGGTGAGGCCACAATGAAAACGGGCATTCCCACTCCAGTTCTGTCCAGTGTGGCACTGCTGCCCAACAAGACCCAAGTAAGACCCGACGACCAGTTCACAGATGCCCAAGACCCCATATCAGTTTGGGTCCTGGCAAAGAACAGATGGTACATTCAAACTGGGGTAACTGGACGAAAGTTTAATAAAGAGACTACTTATAAGGCTATGCTCTGGATGCAGGGAAACTACAAAGAACAGTACTGGGAGCAAGTAACAGTGGAGCTGCACTGCTAGCCCAGGCCCGAAGGCGCGAGGGACAGATGGTGGCTCCCAGTACGGAGAGGGTGAGATTCCTGTTGCCAGACAGGATGGTGGGGTCTAGACTCCCCAACATCCCTGTCCTCCCTCCCTCTGATTCCTGCCAACACTCCCACTGGCCAAACCCTACCGGAGGCCAGAGGGAAGCCAGTCCCCTGGGGCAGGCCAGACAGCTCCAACTCTGGGACACAGAGCAAACTGGAGAAAGTTACAAGTGGGTCTGGAGGTGCACCCCAAGCTGTCCTGCACTGATGCCCGGTGTTGGGGGGGCAAAGTGGAGCAAACTTTGATACCTCGCTTGGGCTGGTGGCTGACATCACCTACCAAATTTGTGCAATAAAAGCTGGAAATGGCACACCCTGTTATCAGGAAAACAAGAAGGCTCCTGTGAAAACATTTCTACTTAATCCCTAAAATCAAAACATCTCCTCTCTCCTCATCTGAGGTCCTCTTAGTCCCCAGAGATGCGACATCCTGCTAAGAACAGAGAAATTGCTGCCTCTAGCTGGGGAAGGAAGGGCTCTCGCAGTGATGCCTGAAAGTAGCCGGGAGGACCTGTTTTTATTTCCCCTTCATTGCGGATGAGGGTATTGGTGTTTGCAAAGGTAAGGAAGGGATAAGAGGCTGGGTGGAGGCTTCCATCTCTCAGTAGAAAAAACCCAACTCCCACATCCGCGGCAGCCCCCTTCCGTTCTGAATCATCTCCCCCTTTTCTTCTTGGACTTGGCCGATTCTGATTCCCAGTGATGTGTCTCTTCCCCTATTGCGGCCCCTCCTGTTTTATGCAGGTAATGGCTTTCCCACTATGTTTTTTGTTTTTGCGGCACGCGGGCCTCTCATCGCTGTGGCCTCTCCCGTTGCGGAGCACAGGCTCCGGACGCGCAGGATCAGCGGCCATGGCTCACGGGCCCAGCCGCTCCGCGGCATGTGGGATCTTCCCGGACCGGGGCACGAACCCGTGTCCCCTGCATTGGCAGGAGGACTCTCAACCACTGCGCCACCAGGGAAGCCCCCCAGTATGTTTTGAAGTTCCCCGTGGTACTTCGGACTTTTTGAAAAGGATGAAGCAAGCAAACACATGAAAAAGCAGACAAACACTGTGAAGGAAGGATATTCAGCAGGCGCTCTCATGCCAGCGGGGAACGGCGAGCTCCCAGCATGCGTGTACCGAATGGACCGGTCCGTACACTGTCCCTGCAGTCCACGTCCACTCGGCCACTGTTCAGCAGCAGCCTGAGCAGAGCCAAGTTGCCCCTCCTCGCTGCCCAGAACGCCGCGTTGGCAAGTGGGGTTTCCTTCTGCAGAAGCAAAACAAAACAGGATCTTAAAATCGACCTTTATTAACACGACCGCTTCTACTCAAGTACGCACTACCATTCAAAAGGGAGACCTTGCAGATGTGTCTGATCATCTGAAAGAGCGCTCCTCTGGCAACAGGTGATTGTCGTGTACTTGGTTATGGGATGCAGGTACCCGAGCCATGGGGCTGTAAGGAAGAGCCGTGTTGTTGATTACACAGTACTATTAATACCCTATTTCCCACCAATGTCCTCACTTTCCTGCCTCTGTGTCTTTGTTCACAGTTTCCTATTTGTTTGAAATGAATTTTCCCCCATCCTTCACGGCCAAGGTTCTGCTTAAAGGTTATTTCCTCCCTGAAGTGTTCCCAAATCTCTCTTTGCCTCTAAGCAGAGGGAAATCTCTCCCAATTCTGAGTTTACAGGTACCTTTTCTGTGACCTCAATACTTTCTACCTGATTCCGGCTGCCTGGGTAAATGCCTCACTTTCCCTCCACCAAATTTTCTCTGTTTCAGCTGGAACTTGCCAGAGGTTTCTGCTGAGAACAAGGAACTCTGGGCAGAAAATGTTGCTGAGTCATTTAAGAAAAAGGAGCGGTCATCAACATGGTCAGTGGGTGAGGCCACAATGAAAACGGGCATTCCCACTCCAGTTCTGTCCAGTGGATCCTTCACTGCACTCCTGGGTTATTTTAAAGTTGCTAACTTAACGTTGGAACAACTACGGAAGGAACAGAGCTGGAGAACAGTTCTCCTGAATCAGAGCTGCAGAGTTGACTGTAGTACCACCACCTCCTCTAAAACAGGTCAATTTGAATTTGCAGAGAACAGTCCCTGGTGGGGGTGAGGGACAGACAGAACCATACAGCTCAGGGTTTCCACCCCAGCCCTGGGCAACGGACTTGGCCCCGCTGAGGCCTGGATTCCTCTTGCTCAGATGGAGATCACATTACCCGCCTTGAAGTTTATGGTAAAAATTAAATGATGCAGGTTAATTGGCTAATACGGTGCCCAGCACATCATACATGCTTACAAATACTAGTTTCTTTCCTTCTGTCCACTTTCTTTCCAAAGTTAGAATCAACAGGCACAGCTGAACTCAGAGTATTGGTACTAATAAAGAATTCTGCTGGTCTCAGGAAGTTTTCTAGTATTCAAATTGTTTAACAAAAACACTTTTTGGGGTGGGCTCAAAGCACATATCTGACCCAGAGGGTCTTTTATGCAATACGTCTTCTAAGTATATGTATAAGGTATTACATACAATACCTAACTCACCAATGCTAAGTTGAAAACACCGACAATTTCAGCTGCTCCACAGAACCATCACAAGTGAAAGTCCAGTGGCAGCAGAGTGGTGGCAGCATCTGTGGGTGTGAGGATTTAATATCAGGAGCTCTTCAGCACATACACAACAGTGTTCTTGTGCATTCTTGGACAAGAGTGTGGCAAAGTGGGGAGTGATAAGCAGATTACAAACATTCTTGGAATGCTTCCCTGGCTCAGTTAGGAGGAAACAGATCACCTTAAATTCCAGGTGAATAATTTGCTTCCCCTGAAGGTGTAAGTTTTACTGTCCCAGGAGTTTTCACACCCAGTGTCTGTGGGTTTTGCACCAGGCTGGGTCTGATGTTACAGTTGTTAGTAAGTGGGTAAAGGAATGGCAAGGCTGGTTTGACTTGTGTGATAAATCATGAAACGATGCCCCTTTAATAGAGAGATTGCACAAGGCCAAGATGGAGTTTGGGAGGGTGAATCAGGAAGACAATTTAACATGCACCATGCAACAGCTCTGTTGACTTTTCTGGAAACATGAAACCTTGAGAGCCATAAACTGTAAATCATTTTCAGTGATTTGGTTGTTTCACTTTAATCCCAAATACCTTCCAAAAAACCATTTGCAAACCACAAACTTCTATTGTCATAACAAGCTCTCCAACCAGGAGCCTCTCCTGCCTTTAGGATGGCCTTGGGGATTCCTCTCCTGCACGGGCTACACATCCTGGTTTCCTACAAGGTTCTAGAAACTGAGCTTTGGGAAAAGGTGTAAATCCTTCCTTTTCCCTCAAGAGCTTGATATACTGGGAGGTGGAGGCATGACAGAGTAGTTGATTTGGGGTGAGAGAGAGCTGAGTTCAAGTCCTGGCCCTGCTACTTCCAGGTTCTGGGACCTTGGGCAGGTTATTTAATTTCTCTCTGCCCTAGGAAAGTGAGAATGATATTAATAGTGGTAGTATAGTCAGTATCCTTGGGGGATTGGACCCCCTGCGGATACTGAACTCTGTGGATGCTCAAGTCTCTTATATAAATCGGCACAGTATTTGCATATAACCTATGTATCTCCTCCCACATACTTTAAATCATCTCGAGATTACTTGTGATGTCTTACACATGTAAATGCTATGTAAATAGTTGCCAGTACAGGTCAAATTCAAGTTCTGCTTTTGGGAACTTTCTGGAATTTTTTTTCTGAATACTTTTGATCTGTGGTTGAATAAGCAGATGTGGAACCTGCAGACACGGAGGGTCAACTGTACCTCTGTCATGGGCTGTTAGAGGATAAATGAAGTAATACGTGCAAATGCACTTTGACAGCAAATGCTCAAGAGATGCGAGCTCTAGATGCACAGTCCTCACAGCCCTTTAAAAGACTTGTCCAGGAGAAATCACTTGCTTGGTCACTGGCATGTGTTCGGGACAGTGGCACTGGCCAGGGGTTAGGACTAGAGGTACCAGTCAACCTTGATCTCTGCTCCAATGGCTTTATGGGGCAGTAGGAAACGAGCATCCCAGGCATGCAAGGTGCTGATGCAATGACACGGGGGCATCCTGGGAACCGTCACTAGCTCGGAAGGACTGGAGTGAAGGACGTGGGGGGAGAGAGGGCAGGAGATGCTGTAGGGCAGGTAGTAAGGGCCACATCTTGAAGGACTTGCTGTGCTGTGTGATGGAGCTTGGACTTCATCCGGTGAGTACTAGGGAGTCAAGGAAGGGTTTTAAGGTGGGGAGAGACCACCAGGTTTGCATTTTAGAAGGTCCCCGTGGCAGCCTCAGGAAGAATGGACTGAGGACTGGAGCCAGACTGAGACTAGTGTCTACAAGGTTAGGAGACACTGTACATACAGGGAAGAGATGGTGAGCTGAGGCTACAATCGTGGGGACAGTAGGATGAGACAGACGGGGGAAATTTCAAGGAGCTAAACTGAATAGTCTCGGTGTATGACTGTCTGCAGGAGAGGATGGAGAGAAGGAGCCTGGCGGATGTGGTGCCACTCACGGACGTCGGAAGCTCCGGTTGAAAGGCAGATTATGGGGAAAAGTTATGAGTTCAGCTTTGCACATGCCGAGTTTCAGATGCCTATCGGCATCTAGGTGGAAATGTCTAGCAAAGCAATGCATAAGTTCTCCTATCACACTGCGGCCAACCCATTTTACTGGAGTGCAGAAATCCTGAGCTAATACTTACCAAGTGCTTATTCCATACCAGTGGCACATACTCTTCAGACTAGCTCATTTAATGCTCATCACAGCTCGGGGAAGTGGGTGCATTATTATCCCACTGCTCAGATGACGTAAGCGAGAAGCAAGAAGCAACAAGGCAGGCTTCAGCCCCAGGCAGTCTGGTGCTTGAGGCTGGGCTTTCAGCCATCCTATCGTCCTGCCTCCTGTGGAATTCTCCTCCTGAGACAGCAAGGAACAGGCAGTGTGGACCCCAGTGACCTCCTTCCTACCCTCATTCCAAGTCCTCTTCTGCCAAGATGGAAAGTCCCCCGACCTTTCTCTTTGGGGTTTACAGACCACATTGCCTGGTTAACTTCCAAACCTCCTCTGGGTACAATCTGCACATAATCATAAAATGCTGTTTACAAAGGGCAGCCCTTTAAGCCTTTAAAGGAGCTGATGCACGTGAAAATGCTTCACACAAATCTTAAGGCACTTCACCAATCGTGTGATTACTATTTAACCTCTTCCTTGGTTTTTCGGGTCTCTGCAAGCAGGCTGTTGGCTGTGACATTGTCATCACAGCAGTGACAACCTACGTTGGGTTCTTGCTCTGTATCAGGCAGTGTGCTGAGTACAATGCTTTTAATTCCCAGAAAAACCCCATGAGGTAGGTGTTACTGTTCCCATTTTTAAGATGAGGAAACTGAGGCACAGAAGTGACTTATGTAAGGTCATCCAGCTAGGAAGTAACGGGATTCAAACCCAAGTCTGTTTGGGTCCAGAGTCTGAGATACCATATCTTTTTTTTTTTTTTTTTTTTT